ACCTGATGAATTCATGAGAGATCACATGGAGATACAGAAAGAGGAATCAATAAGGCATTAGCAGATGCTAGAGTTGCTGCCTGTAAATCAATTTGGAAGTGCCCAGTGTACTGCAATTTGTAAAATACACCTTAGGCTGTAATTGTGAACTGGACTAAGCTACAAAAGAATAATCATCCAGATCCAGGAGCCGAGGACTTGCAGCAGGCTCTGAGCGGTACACAGTTAAAGGAATAAACCAGCTACCCTCCTCTAGAAGAGGAACCAGTGAGGTCTAAGCAAGTCTCTCACTTCTCTACTTACCATCAGCACCTGTACTGCTCCACACCAGTGCTTTGGGATGAGCTGGAAGGGCAACAAAACTATAACTTAGAGAGCAAACGATGAAAATTAGACTTTGGTCAGTGGTCTGTTGAAGGGAATTTTGAGAAATCCGCTTATACCATGAAGAATATTTCTATAAATTGATTCATGTGTGGTAGAGAAATTCACTTCATGTCCCTGTAAAAAACAAAGCTGATTCAGCTGAATCTGTGCTACAGATTTTAAGCATGGCATCTTAGCTGAAGTTTAAGGAAGCAGGGAGTAATAGCAGCAATGACAAAAAATTGAAATTCAAATGTCTGTATGCTTCATCTTCACAAAATCTCTCTCTAGTTCAGTAACTTCTGCTGAGTGACGCCCAGGCTATCAGACACATCTCTTTTCCCAGAGAAAATGAGTTTGACACATGGGCTCTAGGGGTAAGGAAGAAGCAGCAGCACCACTACACAGGCAAAGTAGCAGAGCTGCTCTGAGATGAGTATGGTCAATCTTACCAGCAGAGTGCTGGGACTCCCCACAACCCTATTAAATCTCCCCGGTTTCTGCAGTCCAACGGGTGAGCGTTAACAAAGCAGTTGCTGTTTAAGCTCTGGCTAGAGATGAGGTGGTTTCTGCACAGCATATGCCCTGGGGGAGTAACCCCCTGCTGCGGGACAGGTTGTGGTCTGCCAGGCACCGGCTGCTTACTCCATACCCTATGCGAGGCTAGATGCAGAGGACTTGGTTCCACCTTTGCCAGATATGTTGGGGTGGAGCCCAGCAAAAATTTGTCACAGTTGCAGGTGGAAAGCTGTCTTTTCTGCCTGCCAGGCCTGCATGGGTTGTCTGGGGCCATAAACCAGGCTGCTTCCATTTTGGCTTTTGCCAAAAAGTTTCTCTTCATCCTTCAGCTTTCTTTCTCCTGCTCTGTGGCCCTTTATCCACACAGAAACATGCATGCCAAATATGGTAAGGCCTGAGAAATCTTTATTGTTACCAGAAGCATGTTTAAAATAAAGAATAATTTGAGCTTTCTTTTTTTTTTTTTTTTTCCTTGTTTCCAGGAGGAACTGTGAACACAATACAACTCTAAGTAATGCTTTGTATCTAAGGAATAGAAGGAATGCTAAATATGAAAACTGCCTTCTCTTCCACATTAGAGAAAAAATAATTTTATTCAAGTAGTCAATATACTACTAAATAAATAAGTGGCTGCAGAAAGCCTGCAAGGTTTTGTTATCAGTGATGGAAAAAACAAATACAAGCCACAGGTGAGGAATGCTTCTCCATATGTTAGCCATGTGGGAAGGGTGTTATTGCTCGGGATGAGCCTTTTGCTCCTGGTGGATACCTATCAGAAAGGTTTGGACCATAAGGGCAGTGTGATTTACACATGGTTTCAGTCTCTCACTCTAGAGGGGTACCAAGTGGCTTTGTTGGGTTGGGATCACTGAACCTGTGTTAAGGTTCCTGCCTCAGGGTATGGTCCCCAATGTGACAAAAGCTGGATTATCTAGCAGTATGAATTCCATATGGAGGAGGACACAAGGTGCTACATTTAAGGAGTTCTCCAGGAGTGCTGTATGGTCTTTATGTTGGCATAATGTATATGCTATTTCTCTGTCATACCTTCTGCTTATCCTGCAGTTTAGGACTGTTCTGCTGCACTGTGAGGATATTTGGGGATGGTTCCCACAGAGACTTTCTCTGGAGATCCATGTTGCCCAGAAAGCCTCTAGAAAAACACCACACCACTGGCATGCTCAGCATTGCAGATCTGCAAAAGGGATGGGCCATACTCATACTGGGAAGCTGCAACCAGTTGGCAGTTCTGCCTAGGGAAATGCAGCTCTGGAGTTTCCTCTCTCCTCTTCAGAAGGGACCATGGAGACCGAGATGTGTCAAACTTGGAGGTACGTTATTAACCACGTTGCCTGCTGACAAAGTGACAACGTTGTTGGGCTGCAGCCAGCACAGTGCTAGGTTGCAGAAGAGGGTATGCCACAGACTGGAGACAACCAGCTGGGAAAGGTGATGTAACTGCAAGTCTGTGGCAATCCCACTCCTTATATGATGGGAAACCAACATAAACGTGCCATTGCCTGGAAGGAAAAGTGGTTGTGTGAACTTTTGTAACGTGACAGCCTTTGTCTCCCAACACAGTCTGCTCCTGAAAAGTTTGCAGCCAGAATATAGAGGGGCAACGTGGCTCACAGAATGCTCTTACCCTGCACTGTCCTTGATTTTCTTGTAAACCTATTTCAGAGGCTTAATCTTAGCCCTGTAGTGTTCCCAGCCCCACTGTGGTCTGTGCTAATGCATTTGTGAGACAGTTTTCAAGACCCTGAAGAGGGTTTCTCCTCCTCTCCAGAGCCCAAGTACTGTGGCTACATCTCTCTGGGTCCCAGACCGTGTTCTAGACTCAGCCTTCATGTGGCAGCCTTATTTTGATTAGTCAAGAGAGAGACGGTATTTTTTTGTTGTTTCATGGTATCAGGAACTGTTTTTTTAAAGGAAAATAGCCCCCTATGATCATTTTGAATGATTTAAAATGTTGTTTAGTAGAGCAAAACATCTATTCTGATCATGATTCTTAACTATCAATTTAATCTATAAGTAAACAAAATCAAAATGTTGTTTCATCTTTACTTTTAAAAAAATCTGCTTGGATACTTTGTCAAACCTGACGTTCATAATTTTGAAGAAATGGTATTTTCCAGTGGAGATGGTCAGAACAATTTTTCCCAGTTGTTCTTATTTGATAAAATGTGCTAATGTTAGCGAGCGTACTCTAGTACAGCATAGATGAAATTGCAAGGGCAGCTGGGAAGTCTTCACTATAAGTATTCTGTATCCTGTGAAGTCAAAGATCCTCAGGCAAACATAGCTAGAGACAGCAAATCTCTCAAAGGGCTAAGATCCCAGCTGAGTCTCAGATTCGCTGTGCAGGAGAGAAAGGGCTGTAATCTGCTAACAAAAACAGATGTACAAGAGTCATTCTGGCAGCTACATCTGTCATGCTGCCTGCCCCCAACCCTGCCTTGTTAAACCCACTCTTCCTCCTAGTCATATGTGCTTTTCTCATAGATGACAAAAATAGGCAAGCACAAATGTCAATCATGTGAAATTTATTCCTTAGGACAGACGTTCTTTTCTCATCCTACATTTGAGCCTTATTGAGTCCTAATGGTCCCTCAGCCTCTAGGGGAAGCCTCTCGTAATTTTGGCCAAGTAATGGGCAGGACTCCCAGAGCTGTGCTGCAGCCATGCAGCTCCCTCCCACACCGACCCCTGCGCTGCATGTGCGCGGGAGCAGTGCTGGGGAGAAACATGCATCCTGGCCCTGCGCTGCGTAGCGTGCTCCTCGTGGATCCCCTCACCTCGTGTGTGGCAGGAGGCCGCTGGAGGGGCTGCTGGCTCGTACCACATTTCTCATGTCCCAAGAGGGAAACGGGCATCAGGGGCTCAATGGCACTGAGGAGGCCAATGTTCCTCCTGCCTCGTTGCTAACAGGCACATGCTTTTGTGAGCTGGCTCCCACTCTGAAGCACCCAGGCAGGCACATGGTGCACAGAAAAACTGGTCCTTGCTAAAGCTGGTGAGCAGTCCAGGCCTGGGTCTAGCGAAGAAAAAGTAGGCTGCCCTCAGCGTTTGCTTTGCTCCTTTATGCCAGAAACCACAAAATCCCCAGGAAGGTACCAGCACCCTCACAGAAAATCTGCTGCTGCCAGACTGCTGTTCCCCAGAGGCCACACAGTGTGGGGCACCCCCCACAACAGGCTCACAGTGAGCCTGGGCCTGACCTGCTGCTGCCGAGGTTTGAGCTCACACCTGGGGCCGGGTTTCTGGCTGCAGGTGCTTTCCTGCCATCTTCTGCTGGAGCCCATTGGCCTCGGCCCCACGCACAGCTGACCCTGCTGCCCCTCGGAGACTGAACATGTCCCTGGAGCACCTGGGCACAGCACTTCCTCTGGGCTCTGTGGGTCCCTCCCTTGTCCCTCAAACAGGGTTTGTAACCCGGTGTGCAAAAGCCAGTCTCGCGCTCAGAGCCAGGGTAATGGTTTTATCCCACAGCTGAGCAAAGATGGATGCTAGGGGGTAATTCCAGAAAGCCAGCGTGCCACGCCAAGGAACTACAGCCCATTTCTCCTATTACATGAATAGCAAAAGCCTATCTAAGTTTACACTCATTGGTCTGTAATTACCAATCCATCTGCTATTGGTTAGTTATATTTAAATTAGCCTCACTTGCTGTGGAAATTAGCACGCATGCTACTTGCAGGAGGGGGCAAGTTTTTCGGTCTTGAATTGAGTCACTAGTGGTTGTCATCTGCTCCTGCCGCCTCTACCTCTCCCCCCATTCCTACATATTTTTACAAACTTCATGCTTCTTGGGCAATCATCCAGCCTCTGGCACCTTCTGGGGCAGGATGCTCACCTCTTATTAATCTTTTATCTCTTCAATAGTGAATTCGTTAGCGAGGCCTGGATCGTATCAGGCTTACACAACAGCGGCACGAAGTATCGGCCTTACACAGGGGAGCCGGTGACTAGCGGTCCTTGTGCTTCACGAGACACTTTTGTACCAGCTACGTCCCGCCCGCCGCCTCCCGGCACCCGGAGAGCGCGGCGGGGCCCGCGGCCTCC